GAGCTCAGGAAGGTCAGAGGGAGAATGAAGAGATGAATAGAGCTGTGGGAGGATGGGAAATAAACCTGTACCCTAATGAGAGAAATACAGCTGTCAGTCTGCACTGAGGCATCTGACAGGGTTAAACTGATGTGACCCTCAGTGTTTGTAGGCATCTCCTGTTCTGTATCTCGTTTTATCAGCTATAGTATTAGTGAGGATCTGAACAACAGCAGCTCTTTTAGGAGTGTGTCTGAATGTGCAGTCATTCTAATACATAAAATAGTATCATGAAGCCATGATACAGTGATGCTATCAGAGGGAAATTATTAATGCTGCTTGTTGAGGCTCATGCAGTATCCGATCTTGAGGTTTGTTGAGGAGAGCTGTGCGGTTACATTTATATCACACTTACACCTCACACTTAATGTTATCTACACTGTAAAACTGGTGGCATGCATTTGTTACCTTGAAGAGCTATTTCTACTTGATTTAACTTATACAATTTTGTTTTGTTGGTATAATTTTTAGTGAAAGTTTATTCAGTTATATTACATAATATTGACTTGAATAAAACCAGTTAACTTAGTTTTCTTTTTTCCAGAATATCACTGCCACATAGACAGTGCAACACGTTTTTGTATTAGTAACACACTCTTACACTCTCACACACACACACACACACACACACAGTATAAGATAGAAGATGGAAGGTTGCTAGGGAACATGAATGATGCAACAAGTGAATGTGGAATGGAAATTTGGGAGAGAAAGAAAAATCAATTGTGCATGCTTGTGTTGTAAAATGAAATGTTTGTGTGTGTGTGTGTGTGTGTGTGTGTGTTTGTTTTATATTGTAATCCAGCATGAAAACAAAATATCAAACTAGCTTCACACACACAGCGAGGAGGTTCGGAGTGTGCATGTTGGCTGGGGATGGAGGGTGAAAAAATGCAATTTGTTGAATAATCCTCAAATTTAATACAGCATAATCCATGAAAAATCCTTTCAGAATGACTGCAGGGTCGAGATTTACAGAGCGTGTGCATCTTGCTGTGTGTGTGTGTTTTGTAAACTGTACAGGAGGAGTGTGTGTGTGTGTGTGTGTGTGTGTGTGTGTGAGCGAGTGCATGAAAATCTATTTATGTGTGAGAGAGACTTAATACAAACCCTACAGATGTGTTTAAATCAAACCCTCATCTAGCAGGATTATGATGAGGTGCCTGAGGATTCTGCTGCGTGGACGTGTAGATATGCTTTATTAAATAATCATTTTATATATCATCTAGAAGAGAGTGTGTTTTGATAGCTTTTTTCAGTACATCATTGTATGCATGTATGTATTTATTAATTACCCTCCACCAATTAGACTAGAGGAAAAATTATTTTTCTGCTCTTTTCTTTTCTGCTCTCATCGTTCTCTTCCTCTTCTATTTGTTCTTCTCTCTGCTGTCCCTCTCTCTTCTTTATCCTTTGTTTAACCACTGATTTGAACTGTTGCCCCTGGCAACAAGCATCCTTGTTTACCTACCGTCAGCATGATGATGTGGTCAGCATGCTGCCATGACAACGGAGGAGGCTGTTGCCTGTTACCATGGCGATGCGGAGTGTCACTGTGTTACAGAAATAGTGAATAGTAAATGTTCCCAGGAAATATAATGGTGGTGCAAGCGACCTTTTGGACTGACAACTAAGAAATGTCTTGGGGGTTTTTGCTCTTTTTTTTTTTTTTTTCTTGTTTGTTGATCACTCGAGGCCCTCAACTCTCCTTATATTTCTCTTTCTCACTCCTCATGGTGTGCTTTTCTCTCACTCTCTCTCTCATTTCTCATTCATGTCTTCACAGTGTTGTCTATCTGCAGTTTGTCCTTCACAGTTTCTCAGTCCTCCTGTATTCTCAGTATCTCTATCTCTCTCCATGATTAAGCACATCGCTGCGCTCGTGACATTTTACAAATGAGCTTCGTGACTCTAGAAACTAGAGCGTGTCTCTTCTCTCCCTCGCTCCTGCTTTCACTCCTACACTGATAAAAAGCTTTGTAATTTCGGCAGAAAAGCATGTGGAATACTACTACTGAAACCTGTTAACTGTAGGTTACCTTACCATATATAGCAGGCTATAGGCCTATTGCAAAAATTATATTAGGTTATATATACTGTATATATACTGTATATGCTGACATTATATATTATATATTCATAAGACTATGTGCAGTAAAAAATAAAATAAAATATTAAATATGTGTTGAGGTAAAAATGCAAGCCACAGTTTAAGGGGAAAAAAAGGTTCCCATCAAATTTAATGAGTGTATTTTATTAAATTGTAATTTTTCGTATTTTTGTTGCGATCATGTATGTTGGAGTCTTTTATGTTACATTTTGTATTTTACACCTGTGTTATTGTGGTGGGTTATCAGTGTACTTCAAGCAGATTTTAGTAGGTTAATGTGTAAATCAGTACTAATTCATGTGTAACAATGACACCTTAAAAAAAAGTGTTACCAAATAATGTTTATTATGTATGTCTGATTTATGCACACACTGTCAACAGATAAAACAGCGGTTAATTTGATCACTCTAGTTGATTTTAAATACACTTAAAGAATGCTCTGTATTAGTCTTCATCTTTCTCTGTATTTTCTTAAAATCTTGTTTATGTCAAGAACTCTATCTTTTGATTATATATTATATTCTTTATGTTTTACTGTTATTTTTTTCTCCCATTCCTAGTGAAATCGGTCTTGGTGGTTTTATTTTGAGCCAGCTGAGCCTGTTATTTGATTAATCAAGTTTTAGTCGACTAAACATCTGGGAATGTTAGTCTACCTTTAGTCAGTTAAAAACGTTTTTTTCTCCACATTTTTTGTCATGCTGCACAATGGTTAAACTAATTATCACAGTTATTCTGCTCAAGATTTTAATTGTGCTTGCTGATTATGATTGAGAAATTACAACTGACTTATATATTGTTATTGCACTTTCACCTATAAGCACAAATCTAGATAATTTCAACACATACGCATGCTTTATTTCACCTCACCTAGTGTCCTGATGCATTATATTATCAGAATTTAAAAATTTCACATTCTCTACATTATGAAAGCTGGTAAAACTCAAACGCTTTTCTCAAAAGCTAAAACAGCGACATGCCCAATATTAATTCCAGTAAGTCCAAATTATATTCATGTCTTTCTATTGCAACAACCAGTGCTGGGTAGTTCACTTACAAGCTAGTCCGTTATTGATTACAAGTTACATAACGGTAATTGTAGTTAGTAATGTAATCTGTTGGATTACACATATAAGGTAATGTATTCAGACCTCTTTTAGATTACTTTTGACCTAACTTGTATAAAAATATTTTCCATTCTTTGTTGTCAACATCATGAAGTGCATTAAACATTACATAACACCAGGGTTTTCCAAACTGGGGTTCCTCGAAGAACTGCAGAAGAACTAATTGTGTGGCCTTTCCATTTTCTGTGTAATTACAGTCACCTGACTAGTGACAGAGAGTGCAGATCCCTAAAACTAGAGGACTTTCTGAATGTATATGTATATTCTGAATGAACATTTAAGAGAGATAAAAAAAATGAATTAGGGAAAATCAATACATTATGAATAATTTACAGTAACAGTATGAGTATTAGCATTTTAAAATGAAATATAATCTAATTACAAATACTTAATTTTTGGAATCTGATTACGTAATCCAGAGTACATGTAAGCAGTTACAGCACTGACAAACAACACAAAAAGATGTTGTATTGTGGCACAGAGGTGTGAGCCGAATCTCTCAGCGGAGATCGCTAAACTCACATGTTTGTCAGTGTTTTCAGATAATCAGAATGTGCGGATGGTTGCCAGGTGGCAGAGGTCTAGTAAACACAGGACAGAAGATGTGCTCTTTTAAGAGAGAAGCTCTGACTGGGGGATTTAAACTCTTGACATCTGGCAACCCCAAGTATGAAAACTGGTGGGGGTCTAATTTTTTTCTCCTCTTTTTTTGTTGAATAAAATATAGAGAAATTTTGGATACATAGAGTTTTAATTTTTTTAAGATACATTTTAGTATTTTTATCTTTTGCAACTCACATTCTCTCTTTCACACACACACACACACACACACATACACACACACACACACACACACTCACTTACTC